TGCCTCGGCGGCTGATGCAAGGTGCTCTGTTTCATAAACACTGCGCTGGCGCTTTAACTGCGCTGGTGCCGGGTCGCGCTCCGCTTCAGGTGCGCTCCAGGAACACCTGCGCCGTACTGGGGGTAGGGACTGAGCCGGGAATGCCCAGCCTTGCGGGAGCCTGGCTTTCCTTCAAAACAAGGAAATATTCTATATTCAATATGGGTTGCTAAATATATTCTTAGAGAAGAATGTTACTTAGGGGAAGAAATAACCACTTAGAAATAATAAACTTCCATGAGAACGCTGAAGTTTAATAGCGCTGAACCTGTTTTTATTTCTGTTGTGCAACAAAGAATCGACTGTAGAAGAGAGCTGAGAGTTTTTACTTGGAATGACAGCACAGAAAACTCGGTAGAACACATTCATATTCTTCTTTGGTGCCCATTACTCATCTTTGTCAGTGCTTATTGAAGGTTATTTTTTAGTCTCGGAAATCCTTTTTTTAGATGATTGATCTTAAGGGTTTTTTTAGACTGGAGTGGTCCTGTTGAAGGCTGGTATTTATTTGGCTTTACAGTAGATACACAGGATGTGGTATCTCAGATTTATTTTTATGTACATATCTGGGATAACTTGGTATTGTGTTATCAACAATACATATGGTTGTAAACTTTTGCACCTTATGCTTCTGGTTTACATCTCACTAAGCATAGGAAAATAGTTAATGCTTCTCCTGCCCCACTTCCCCAAATACATACAAATTGCACTCTGAGCATAATGAGTATTTAATTTCTCCACACAGAAATTAAGAAGATGATGCCAGAAGTGACAGTGAAGATGCTTAGTGAGCATGCAAAACCAGGGCACCACGGGATTGGCTTTGGTTGGGTTTTTCCCAGTCTTTCCTTCTGGCTTGGCCTGGCATACAGGAGACCTGTAACACCCTAGTGTATCCTCCAGTTATCCCTGCTGTTACTGGGCTAGAACCCATTAGTGTCATCTTGATTCATCAGGAAGTTTGAAGGCTTGATGTCTTTTTAACTCCTGCTCAAAGCTATTTTTTTAAAAAAAGTTACTTTCAGGAAGACAGTGGCAGCATTTCCAGCCCCTTTAGGCTGGTTGGAGAGGCATATTAGTTCTTAGTGGGTCTTTGTCATTTGCTGGAGAATCAAACTGGAGAAGAGTTTGTGAGTGAGTGGGTCAGTTTAGCCATTGTGTTCAAGTTAGTTTTCTGTTTTTCAGTGTACTTAGGGGATTGAATTTGACCATGGATTGAGTTATGAGTATGTGCATTTTATTAATCTGTTGCAGAAATAAACTGTTTAGCTGATGGTTGAAGTTTAGGAACACTGTACCTAGGTAATTTTTTTATTAAAGCTTGTAGGTCTTTTTGATCTTTTAGATCTGAGTAATAGTGTTTTCATTTTGGTAACTGTTTTACATGTGTATGTTTGCTGAATATACCTGTAGGAATGCATTTAACCTAGAGAGGCTCTTCAGTCTGATGCCAAGCTATCTATCTGTTGTCATTTGGCTAAATTTACAGTTCTAGCCATAAACCTTAGTGTTCTTCTGATTATTCTTTTTAAAAAAATCCATTATTTTTCTTAATATTAAAATATTTAATACTTAAAATATTAATTAGAATAGTGATATAAAAATATTTTCTATTTTGGTAGTATGTCACCTGTGTGCAGGTAAATATGCACTATTAGTGTAGTCTTCTGGTTGAATCGAAACAAATAACTTCTAACTCAATGCCATTTATCAAGACAAGTGAGCAATAGGAAATGATGATTGTTTGCCTGCTTGTTTCTCTGTTTGTTTATTTAACATATTTGGTGATGTTGGTACCCAGGGAGGTGCTGAAACTTTTGTGTGGGATGGGAGGACAGGTGTTTATGTGGAGCCCAGAGCCTTGGCTGTATGTTCAGAGCGGAAGATGCCTTTGTGTTTCTGCAGTTACCTGTCAGTGTGTTTTTGGCAGGACAGGGAGAGCAGGATGGTGTCTCTGTTGTGTTCACCAGGCCCAGGGTGAAATGCTGAGTTAGCTGGAGGAAGAGAGATGTTGCAATGCCCAGCGCAGAGTCTGCTGTGACAATTTGGGATTTCAAAATCTGTAGATGCACTGGTATCAAACTGTACTGGTGCCCTGAGGTTGTGTTTTAAGAATTCAGATTTTGCAAGGCAGCCAGTGATATTTGTGCCAGGTGACGAGTTCTGGTGCTGGGAGTTCCCTTCCTGTGAAAGGAATGCTGCTGCTGCTGGATGCCCAGTCACATTCAGAGTCATTAATGACAGCAAGCAGATGCCATTGTCACATGTCAGCTCCAGAACTTAGTCTTAGCCATTTGGACATTTGTTATTTTGATGATTGAAGAAGTATGATTTAAAAATAAATCACAATTAAAAAGAAAAAAAGATCCTTTTATGCAGTGTGATTTAAAAAAACCCAAACAACTCAAACCAAAATAGATTTCTTCCCACCCCCTCCCAACCTGACATAGCCTGGTTGAGATTCCAGGAAAAGCACTAAAGGAGGAAGAAAAATGTCTGCAGGAAAATGACAACCATATTCAAAGTAGGGATTTATAAAAAAACAGAAATTCAGTTTCTCTCAAAGTTTCTTATCTAAGTTGATTGTTAGTGAATATTTTTGCTTAAAATGTTGTTGTGATTGTCACTGTTGCCTTTTTTTTTACAGAGGAACTGTAAATATATTAGTAGAAGTTGATGAGAAAATAGTTTTATCTTAGAAAAACATGCAGTAACTACCATAATGCAGAGATATGAGACACGTTTACTGTGTTGTGAGAGAAACCTACATGGAATTGGAGGTTTTATATTTTGTTGTGCCAATTTCCAGCCACACTGGTGTACTTAAATGTTCTCATTCAAAGTTTTATATATAATTTCTGTGTTGAGAAACCAGGAGTGAAGACAGGATTGATAATAAAGTAGAGAGCAAATAAATTTAAACACATAGATGCTTTCTTGTGTTCTTACTGGAATTAACTCAGAGTGGGAAATTAAGCAGGTGTCTGAAATTCTGTGATAAAAGCTGTATTGAACCATGACTTCATTGGCTGCTTTTATTATGTTGATACATATAACAGGCAATCGATTGGAAATTGTTAAATTTTGGGAATTTTTTCCCATCAAGATGAATCCATAGTCAATTTTATATAAAAATTCAATATGTTTTTTTTTCAAGGAACCAAAACTGTTTTAAACTTCTTTATAAAACCTTTTTGCTAATTAAGGACTTGAAAAAGTGGTTGAATATGATGTTAATGAATACTCTGTATCCCTGGTAAATTCCTGTTAAAAAGGAGAAAAGATATATAGACAGCTGCAGCTGGGCAGTTCTCTTCTGAAAGTGGCTGCCAGTCATCTGGTAATATTACTTTAAAAAAATACTTTGTTATTTTCATTCTGTTTTTGTAGTTGCCAGGTGCTCTCAATTTTCCTCAGAATCAGTGTGAAGGAGTGAAAGAAACAGGAAACATTGATTTTGCCCAGTAGTTGAAGAAAATTAGTTCCAAAAGATCTTAATCTGTTTCTTCTCAAAAAAACCTCACACTGTTTTTCTTGAATAAACTGTAGTTTCTGTGCATGTAACAAAGCAGAAATTATTGCGTGTCTTAAAACTTGTCTATAGCATCATTGTTTAACTTTAATTATTAATTTATTGACTAGCTTTGTGTGTGTGTGTCTAGTCTGAGGGCTTTTTGGTTGGCTGAAATAAGTATGTGCCTAGCAAAACTATATTTGCTCCAAGTATAAAGAAGATAACAGGAAATAAGTACAAAAGAATATATTTTCTTTCTCTTCTTTTATTCTGTTTTTTTTTTCCTCAGTTCCAGAATAACAATTTGTGTGTTGGTATATTCTTCTGTAACATCATTATTTCCATTCTTCTGTTTATTTATTTTTCAATAGAGCAGTGAAATTTTGTGTCTTGCATATTAAAAGAGTCTACTTTTACCTGCAGTGTGCTTTGAAAATGTCTGAAAATTCCAGTGACAGTGATTCGTCTTGCGGCTGGACTGTCATCAATCACGAGGTACCCAGTTTCACATTGGTACAGTTCTGTCATTTAAGGCTATCTATAAGCAGTAAAATACTATTTCAGCTTAGTAATTCTTGTTTTCCGTGGATATTGCATATCAACAGAGAATACAGAAGACCAATTTAGAAGTAAATCATGAAACTACTATTTTAAAAAATGTATACTTTTACTATAGTTGATACAAATTTTGATATTTAAAAGAATTTTTTTTTTGCAAAGGTTTTACTTTGCAGAGCTGGTAGAATTTTAGTGGCATGCAGTCTTCTGTTTCACCCTGTCTGAAAATATTAGCATGCTGTGTAACTTGTCTGTTGTTGCTAATGTATTTCTTCTCCTCCTGATAAATCTGTACCCTCACCAAAACAAAGAAATTTGGGAATACTGGGCTGGAAAAATATCTTGTACAGAAGGGAACGATTCCATGATTTCCCCAAGTTTTTTCTACCACTAAGGCATCTGATCCTAATTTCAGCAGTGGCTGTTCAGAGACAGCCCTCAGTCCTTATACAGTCTTCCTTACAGAAAATTAGGATAGGGACAAGTGAATATTCCAGCACTACCTTGGGACAGGTGTCTGGATTTGCTGTTGGTTTCAAAGTTTGCATTGTGTGGATGAAATCAGTGCTGTCAGTGGAGAGCAGGAGTCTTATGGCAAGGTCAGCCCTTAGGTTTGATCAAATGACTGCCCTGACTGTGCTGGTTGACACGGGGCCCTCAGCACCTGCTCAGGTACAGCAGACACATGAGTATAGATAAGAAGTTTTATCTGCCCTTCCCACAGTGGACAAGGCAGGCCTGGGTTGCCTTGTGTAGGATGGGTGGGTTGGTTTCCTTGTTTGGTTTGATTCTTATGTATTTAGCATTGTCTTGTAAACTGAGGAGGCCATTGAGCCAGAATCCTCAGGACAGATGGGTTGACAGTTTTCCTGGAATGACACTTAGCATTGCCTGCATCTACTTGTTGCCTGCTCCAGAAAAGAATTCAAGGACCAGGGCTCGGGCTGTTTCATTCAGAGGAAGAAAGCAGGAAAAAATGACTGGAAATCATGCATAGTGTTCATCTGTTTTTCATTGCACACTCCCCTGTTTTGCAAATTGTAATGAAAATGGGAAATTTGGAACCAAGCTATTACAAACCTGTGATTGCACTCATGTTTTGACAGTTCCTTGTCACAAGTGATACACTTTGAAGCTTATAAATATTGGGCCATGCTTTCATTTCTACTGGCAGCAAAGTGGTATTTAAGAGATGGTTAAAACTTCTTTTCCTTGTTTTGGGCTGGATGAGGGGTTGGGAATCTTGTCACCAAAAGAAACAGAAAGCTCATGCACTCCATTCCTTAAGGCCAAGTGGGATACAAGAGTGTAACAGGATGCTGGACTCACAGAGCTCAGATAAAAGTAAAAGGATTTAGAGGCTGAGTTCAGCAGTTGAGTTATTCAGCTGTGAAGTGCAGACTTTATTTTCATTCTTGGGATGGTTATTTTACACTGTAACTGCAAATGAATTATGCTGTCTAAATAAGCTAACATAACACAAGATTGTAGGATGGCTGGGATTTGTCTAGTCAAAGCAGAACAGATTTCTGTGGCATGGAGATTTTGTGTTCCCAGTTATTCATCTCTGATTCAGTGAAATAAAAATGAGGCAGCACTGGTGTTTGAGAGCTGCCATTATTAGCATTCTTCTGGTAAGACAGCTTTGAATCTGAGCAGAAAGAAAGCAGAATGGATGGGATGGCCAGGTACCCTTCAGACAGCTACTGCCCATGGAGGGGGATGTGGCCTTCTGTACACTGCAGTGAATGGAGCTGGGTGTTTGGGACAGGGGTAGAACTGTGGGTTAGACAAATTTGGAGTGCTGAGTTATGATTTTCTCACGTGCTGTTGTGACCTGTACTGGTGATGGCACAGTGGGATCTGTTTGTGGACACGTTTGGCAGTGCATTAGGGACTGGAAGTGGCTGTTGGCCAGGCTGTGGCTGCAGGGAGCTGGCAGCTGTGGCTGCTGCACTGAGGGTGGGCTTTGGGCAGAGTCACAGTGCTCTGCATTGCTGGGCTGCTCCTGAGAAAGGACTTGCTAATTTTGTGTAGGAGGGTAGGGAGGTGACAATGCCTTTTCTTGACCTCTTTGCTATTGCTGAGATGGAAGGTCCAGCATCAGATGAAGTGGATCAGAGAGCTCATGCATTCCCACCTGTGGGTTTAACCATGCACTCAGCTAGCCCATTAACTTGGTTTTTTAGCTAAAATTGTAATCTGTCTTAAGCAATACTCCTGATGTTTTTCTTCTTGTGGAGCCTGGGCAAACTGAAATGTTGTTGTTCTTCACAATTTTAAGAAATGAAAGTGGTTCTGTCACACCAGAGAAAATTGTCACATAATAAACCTGTATATCTATCTATAAAACCTAACCAACCCAAAACCCCAAATAACTTTGCATTTTCTTTCCTGAGATTTCACTTAGATTATAGTAAATTACTTGTAAATGAGAGGGGAATTTCTGAAAATCACATCAAATCAAAGTTGTGATATTTACATAGTCGAAAGGAAAAAAGATACAATGTGTTTAAAAAAGAAAAAAGACACACAGTGTTTAACAGTTTACCAAAGGAGTTATTTTTTGAAGCCTTTATAAAAGAAACATAACTTTGTAACATGATTATAGAATGTATCTTATGCACTTCTTTTTGAGGTATCTAATCTTCATTAAGTACAGGCTCTGTAAAAACAAAAGCATACATGTTTGCTTGAGTCCTGAAATGAGACATCCAGGGAAACTGATCTGGAAGTATTGCTGCTACTGTAATTTCACACCTGCTGTTGCAAAAATAACTATCTCTGTTTACAAAAACAGCTCAACTTATTTATGGATCAGAGTGACTTAGGATTTTTTCAGTTATGTTTTGCATGTTTCTAGTTTGCTAATAGCCTTACTGGTGTCTCATCAGTGTTTTTAAACCAAAATTACAATATAAAGATTAAACATTTGGAATTGTCAAGTATATTGCTTGACTTTAGTACCCTGCAGTCCCTTGGCGTTGTTTATTTGCAGTTCCTGTTGTTGCAGCTCTGGTGTTGTTGCTGCCTGGCAGCTGACCAGTAGCGAAGGCTCCTTTCTGGATTAAAGATAGAAATCCAATCTAGAGTTTGTATAAATATTTGTTTTTGAGGTGTCAGAGATGTACTATATGAGCAGCCTTTCAAAATTTCTCACAGGAGTTGACATGGAGTGAAGTTATGCATGGTTTTTCCTGGTAGTAGTATTTATTGCAGCTCATGTTGATATGCTTGAAAGTTCTATTTTTGGGAGGGTGTGTGTATTTGCATACAGTAGATGGGAACAAGAATTAGATCCCATATTCAAAACCTCCTCTGTTTCTCTAAATTCCATTTAATAAACAGATCTAATAAAGACAATAAAAATAGTTATTTAAAATACTCAGTGTAGTTGTTAATTAATGCCTAAATTGCTGTCATTTTTCCCCTTTAGAATTGTCCTTGTCTAACTTTTTTTAACCTTGGTCATGTTAGTTACACACTAACACTTGTTTCACTCTAGTTAATTAGTTGGTATTTCACCTGCTTTTCTTAGCTCAAAGTCGTCTTCAGTTTTAAAGGCTCACTTTTTCTGCTTCTGTTTTTATTACTAATATTCTGTTTCCTTTGTAACCTTTTCTTCCTACTTTACTATTGGAAGCCCCAGTAACTGTAATGTCCATTTAAACTCTTCACCTTCAGGGTTCTGACATAGAGACAGTGACCTTGGAAAATGGAAGCACAAATGACAACCATGAGTTTGTTTCAGAAGAATATGTTTCCTTGCAAGAAGAGGAGCAGGCAATTGATGTGCAAGGTAAGATATTAAAAGAGGAGCAGTTACATAAAATAGATCAATATTTGTTGCAGCATTGGCACAAAATTGGTATTTTCAATAGATTTTTATGTGCTTTGTGGACATCTGTCAGGGTATTTGCTTCACCAGTGTTATGGAAAATGATCAGTCATCAACTTTATAAAAGTATTTTTTCCTGAAATGTGTGAAATTAGTAGAATGTTTTTCATTTTGTCCATACTTTAGATGTGTTATAGAATAGTGTGCACTGGTGTTGCTGTAAGATCATTTATAGAAGTGTTATTGATAAAAGAATTGTTCCCTAGTAATGTCATAGATCAAATAAGAATAATTTGGAAGGAACCATCAATGCTTGTACTCCTAAAAAATAACTTTATGACATTGTATTTTAATATTATATGGGTGTGGGCATCATGTGTGGTTGCTGCTTTTAATCCCATGTTTGTTTGCTTGTTTCTTTCCTCTTTTTATTTTATAGCTCAGTGCAACAATGATGAAGAGATCCCAGCAGTAGATAACACACTATCTGGTTTTGAGGAAACTCAGACAGTTCCAGAGGTAAATTACATTAACAGACTACATTACTTAGAAGCTTCTCTAAGCCCCATCTGTCAATGGCAAGAAATGTTTTGAAGGCATTAAAATAGAGACACAAATTTTTCCTTTCCTGAAGTTCCAACAATTTTTGTTTGTTTGTTTGTTTGTTTGTTTTAATTACTTCATGTTTCTTTTGTGTCTGAATAATTCTTACACTGTCCCTTTCCCTAGGAAAATAAAGAAAAAGTTCCTGATGATGGCTCCTGCATTGGAACTATTAGTGATGATTCTGACATTGTTACACTTGAAGCTCCAAAACCAGAAGAAACTCAGAGTCAGGAGGAAGCTCCTGCTGATGGTGAAGAAGCTCAGAGTTCAGAGGATTTTAACATGGGTTCCTCCTCTAGCAGTCAGTATGCGTTTTCCCATGTAGAAACTGGTAAGAGCAATAGAGTCCTAAGCAATTGTGTGCAAAAATGTCACCAGGGAAAAAACCAAATCCAGTCTTTGGTTAGGGAGCCTTCTTTTTATGGAGAGAGGAAAAAAATAATGGTTTTGTTGAGTAAATATCCAAGTATTAGAGTTTTTCTAAACTCTAGGTGCCCTCTTCAATTTTGTCTAAATGTATGTCTGCAATTTTTTAATTGAAAGCAATCTTTTTCATTAATTGTTCACTGTTTGAAATGGAAAGTTAATTTGTAGCACATCTTGGAGAATGAAAATTACTTTAGTTCACAGAATAATTGTAGGTTTTCTCTTGGCAATATTTTGGGCTTTATATAAGAGTTGGCATAAATGACTAGAAGTGGGAGAGGATTTTTGGTGCCATGAGGATCAGGCAGTATGACTACAAAAACTTTGCACCACCCTCATAGCTATGTAGTGTATATTTATATATTTAAAGTACTCCCAGTGCTTGACTGAAATAAGCAGTGCATTATAACCAGGAGGAAGAGGAGGAATATTTATCCAATAAAGAACACAAAACCCCAACAAATCCAAAGCAAAAACTTCCTGTTTTGTTGCTGTTCTCTAGTCTTCCTCTATAATTCCTTTTGGCTTCTTGTTTGTAATCTCTTCTGTTCTCTGTTTTCTATGACACCTGTGTATTGCTGATTTTTATCTTTCAAATTAAGTTTATTATACAAGCAGGATTTTACCTAAAATACTGTTTTATCTTAGAGTAGGATACAGCATCATTAAATGTTCATGTATCTGCATAGTATCCACTGGAAACAGAAAGTGACAGCTTAGTGTCTAATTATAATCAGTGAAGATTTGTAACAAAGTTGTCACCTTCTTTAAGTCATCTGGGGAATCTGGCTTAATTTTTAAATTAAGATTTAGTTGACTTTGTTTTTTTCTTTTAGGGATGAGTTCTAAAAGTGTCTTTTTTTCCTCCCTGTGTTTTTGTACACAAAAGTCAGTTGGCTGGAGAAGCTGTGGAAGATTCCTGATTGTGTAAGGGGATGGGGAAATGAGGTGAAAGAGCATGTATCTCGCAGTCTTCCTTTTCAAGGTGGTGTGATTACATTTGATCAGCTTGTGCAAAGCTGATTGCTTAAGGCTTGCATGGAGTGTTCTTACAATTTTTGATAGCAACCTGACTTGGTCTTGTCATAGTCATATTCTAGACAGATGCTGAAAGCCAATCCTCACTGAAGAACTTGGCTAAGCTCTCGGTGTCTTATGTGCTTCTTTAAAAAGATGTTAACCTTGCATGTAGGTTGGGAGCAGACATCAGTAAGGTTTGTAATACATTTCAATGTGTGTGCTTGATTGTTTTACTGGATAGTTCTTGTTGGATTCCAAGCCTACCTGTGACTGGCAAAAAGAATTTCTTCCTTCTAACGTAAGCTGATTTCAGCATGGCCTTTAGTGCTGGGCATTCAGCTGATCAAGTATTGCAGAAAATGGCAGGAGTACTTTTGCAAGTGTTTTAAATGCTGAAGTTTTAGAGGTGACAAAAAGTGGCAACAGAGATCTTTGCCATCCACTTCCTGTTGAGTGTTCTTTTGTGTTGGAAAAGGATGAGCCTCAGATTCTTCCTAATGTAGATACTAAAGCATTCTACAAGGATTTTCTGCCACTTCTTTTTGCAAACCAGTTCCTGTTTAGGTTGCCTTCATCATGCAAACAGAAATGTTTTACTATTGCTTCATGAATGAAGTTCAGCCAGCAGAAATACCCATATGCTACAGTGAACTGTATCTGTGCTGTGTCTGTGCAGAAATGTCAACTGACTTAATCTGATTGCTGGTATAGATCAGACACTTCAAAATCACAGTAGAAACTAAGATTTTGGGCTGCTATTGTGGTCACACTTGGTTTTATTTGTAGTCCTTTCTATCCTGGTACTATTAGAGCACAGCTTTGTACTGAATTCTTACAGCAGCTGTAAGGCAGTGTCATTCTTGCCTGAAAGTGTAATTGCTGTTGACAGCTTGGCTGTAAGTGCTTATGAATGGCTTTAAGTATCTTACAGCGTTTTTCTTTCTGATTGTCTCTTTTTTCCTCTTTTCTTATTCTTTGCTGTCCAGTGTGTATCAAAGAATTTTCTCATTTGGCTGGAAGCAGCTCTTGTTCCTTTACTACTTTTGTACTCCATGTGTGTAACCTTCTTTGGTTGTTGAAAAACCCTACAAAGCCCCACAGATGAGCAAGAAAAACAGCTCTTACTAAGTTTGTCCTGTATATTTCTCTATAATGTCTGAATTGCATTTTAGGAATGCATTCTGAATGTTTGCCTTTGTTTTCCAGGATTGGGAAGTATGCATCTGCTTAAATGACTGGGTCTAAAATGGTGTCCTTCTCTACTAAGCTATAGAAATTCATTTAAGTGTCTGCATGTCCAAGTCACTGTTTAAGTCTGGTTTGACTGATTTACTAACATGGAGCTTTTTATTAAGGGAGGAAGTTGTCTTTCATAATCTGTCATGTTGCTTGTCCATGGACTTAGAAATTAGAAGTGTTCCAGATACTAAATGATAATCTTTTCTGGGCTTGATGCAATCACCTCTATCAAGTTGTAATTTATTTTAAGTGAAGAATCTTAAGTGGTAATGCATTTTATAGATAATAGCTAGCACTGCTTGGCATTCTTGTCTGTTCAGTGGTGTGTGCGTGGCTTTGCTCAAACAAATGATTTTTCAGTTGTGAACTGTTCAAGGACAGACTTCCTATATTTGTATTTTTACATTCTGAGTAATGATGTCTGATAAGAGAATGAACAGCCATATTTTAGGGGGGCATTAGCATTGTGTGACTGTGAGCAGCAAAATTAGTGTCCAAACAGGAGCACTTTTTCATGTCTAGAGAATTCACTGATCTCATTGAATTTATTCCAGACATGTGAATTAGGTAAAGAATGTAGATACTTGAAAGCTATTTTCCACCCTACTACTGCTTCCCCTTGCACTTGAAAGTTACACTTTTAAAGGAGGGAGATTAAATAATAATTACTTATATACTGCATTATAGAAATCTATTTACAGTATATGCAGCAAACATTTGTACAAATAGGAACAAGCAATTACAGCTCTGTTGTTATTTTCCTGGTTAGAATATGGCCCTTTTGGGCCATTAGAACATGAACATACAAATGGTATAATAAATATAATCTTGAAAAAAATCTATAAAAGGTATTTTTTAAGGTTAGAATTTGTTCTTATTGCAAATTTTGTCCAATTTTACCAAAACTTCAGTCTGTAATAGAAGAGTGTTGAGAAAGAACAAGCAGAAAAGCACTTAAATGGATTTTTTCCTGTGCTGTAGTGGTTGAAAATGGCTTTTTTGAAAGGTGGGTAAAGATGTTAACAGATAGTATATAGTAGATATTAAAAGAAAACAAAATTGCATATTTAAATAAATTTATGTATTGATTTTGAATATTTCTAATAGCTACATTAATAGAACTGTAATGGAATTTTTTCTGCAGTTGCATGCAGATCACAAAATGAAATTTTTTGAGGGGATGTAACAAAACCGTGTCTTTCTTCTAGGAGGCCTTCTTTTAGCAAACCTTTATATTGCTCTTTCATTTTGAAGTATTTCAATTTTAATAGCTGCAAGAGAAGGAAAACTGAAATCTTTGTCTTTTTACTTCACAAGAATTTGCAGGGGCAGTACATGTAGATGCTTTAGGAGGCAGGGTTGACTGAAACACTTTGTAATGGGTGAATGATAAGGTATGGGGAAGTGCTATACAGCTTTTTAGTGATGATTTCTTGATTCTCTATCATTTAGTTTTAAAAAATTAATTTTTAACTTTGAAGAGCGCACATTGTTTGCATAATTTCCAGCACAAACGATATCAATTTTGTTTTGTTAATGTTCTCAAAGATAAACCGCAGATCTATTCTGCATAAATATTACGGATCTCGATGTTCAGTTTGCTCTTTACCCCAGTACTGAATGCATTTTAACCACGGCTGTGTGCTGCTTTTCAGTGTTCCCCTCGCAGGGCAGCCCCGAGGAGTCGAGCAGCGACGAGAGCAGCAGCCA